TAAATTACTAAATGTAAAAAGAGATAAATTTGACGTTTCTCCTGCCTTGGTGGTCACGCTGCCTCAGCGGTCACCCTGCCTCAGTGGTCACCCTGCCTCAGTGGTCACCCTGCCTCAGTGGTCACCCTGCCTCAGTGGTCACCCTGCCTCAGCAGTCACCCTGTCCTCAGTGGTCACCCTGCCTCATGGTCACCCTGCCTCAGTGGTCACCCTGCCTCAGTGGTCACCCTGCCTCAGCGGTCACCCTGCCTCAGCGGTCACCCTGCCTCAGTGGTCACCCTGCCTCAGTGGTCACCCTGCCTCAGTGGTCACCCTGCCTCAGTGGTCACAATGCCTTGGTGTCACCCTGCCTCAGCGGTCACCCTGCCTCAGTGGTCACCCTGCCTCAGTGGTCACCCTGCCTCAGTGGTCACCCTGCCTCAGTGGTCACCCTGCCTCAGTGGTCATCCTGCCTCAGTGGTCACCTGCCTCAGTGGTCACCCTGCCTCAGTGGTCACCCTGCCTCAGTGGTCACCCTGCCTCAGTGGTCATCCTGCCTCAGTGGTCACCCTGCCTCAGCGGTCATCCTGCCTCAGTGGCCACCCTGCCTTGGTGGTCACCCTGCCTTGGTGGTCACCCTGCCTCAGTGGTCACCCTGCCTCAGTGGTCACCCCACCTTGGTGGTCACCCTGCCTCAGCGGTCACCCTGCCTCAGCGGTCACCCTGCCTCAGTGGTCACCCTGCCTCAGTGGTCACCCTGCCTCAGCGGTCACCCTGCCTCAGTGGTCACCCTGCCTCAGCGGTCACCCTGCCTCAGCGGTCACCCTGCCTCAGTGGTCACCCTGCCTCAGTGGTCACCCTGCCTCAGTGGTCACCCTGCCTCAGTGGTCACCCTGCCTCAGTGGTCACAATGCCTTGGTGGTCACCCTGCCTCAGCGGTCACCCTGCCTCAGCGGTCACCCTGCCTCAGTGGTCACCCTGCCTCAGTGGTCACCCTGCCTCAGTGGTCATCCTGCCTCAGTGGTCACCTGCCTCAGTGGTCACCCTGCCTCAGTGGTCACCCTGCCTCAGTGGTCACCCTGCCTCAGTGGTCATCCTGCCTCAGTGGTCACCCTGCCTCAGTGGTCACCCTGCCTCAGTGGTCATCCTGCCTCAGTGGTCACCCTGCCTCAGCGGTCATCCTGCCTCAGTGGCCACCCTGCCTTGGTGGTCACCCTGCCTCAGTGGTCACCCTGCCTCAGTGGTCACCCCACCTTGGTGGTCACCCTGCCTCAGTGGTCACCCTGCCTCAGTGGTCACCCTGCCTCAGTGGTCACCCTGCCTCAGTGGTCACCCTGCCTCAGTGGTCATCCTGCCTCAGTGGTCACCTGCCTCAGTGGTCACCCTGCCTCAGTGGTCACCCTGCCTCAGTGGTCACCCTGCCTCAGTGGTCATCCTGCCTCAGTGGTCACCCTGCCACAGTGGTCATCCTGCCTCAGTGGCCACCCTGCCTTGGTGGTCACCCTGCCTTGGTGGTCACCCTGCCTCAGTGGTCACCCTGCCTCAGTGGTCACCCCACCTTGGTTGTCACCCTGCCTCAGCGGTCACCCTGCCTCAGCGGTCACCCTGCCTTGATCACCCTGCCTTGGGGTCACCCTGCCTCAGGGTCATCCTGCCTCAGTGGTCACCCTGCCTCAGTGGTCACCCTGCCTCAGTGGTCACCCTGTCTTGGTGGTCACCCTGTCCTAGTGGTCACCCTGCCTTGATCACCCTGCCTTGGGGTCACCCTGCCTCAGGGTCATCCTGCCTCAGTGGTCACCCTGCCTCAGTGGTCACCCTGCCTCAGTGGTCACCCTGCCTTCGTGGTCACCCTGCCTCAGTGGTCATCCTGCCTCAGTGGTCATCCTGCCTCAGTGGTCACCCTGCCTCAGTGGTCATCATGCCTCAGTGGTCATCCTGCCTCAGTGGTCATCCTGAGTCGATGGTCACCCTGCCTTGGTGGTCACCCTGCCTCAATGGTCACCCTGCCTCAGTGGTCATCCTGCCTCGGTGGTCACCCTGCCTCAGTGGTCATCCTGCCTCGATGGTCACCCTGCCTTGGTGGTCACCCTGTCTCAGTGGTCAACCTGCCTCGGTGGTCACCCTGCCTCGGTGGTCACCCTGCCTCGGTGGTCACGCTGCCTCGGTGGTCACCCTGCCTTGGTGGTCACCCAGTCTCAGTGGTCAACCTGCCTCGGTGGTCACTCTGCCTCAGTGGTCAACCTGCCTCAGTGGTCATCCTGCCTCGGTGGTCACCCTGCCTCAGTGGTAACCCTGCCTCAGTGGTCATCCTGCCTCGATGGTCACCTGCCTGGTGGTCACCCTGTCTCAGTGGTCAACCTGCCTTGGTGGTCACCCTGCCTCGGTGGTCACCTTGCCTCGGTGGTCACTCTGCCTTGGTGGCCACCCTGCCTCAGTGGTAACCCTGTCTAGGGGTCACCCTGCTTCGGTGGTCACCCTGCCTTGGTGGTCACCCTGCCTCAGTGGTAACCCTGTCTAGGGGTCACCCTGCTTCGATGGTCAGTCTGCCTTGGTGGTCACCATGCCTTGGTGGTCACTTTGCCTCGGTGATCACCCTGCTTTGGTGGTCACCCTGCCTCAGTGGTCACCCTGCCTTGGTGATCACCCTGCTTCAGTGGTCACCCTGCCTTGGTGGTCACCCTGCCTTGGGATCACCCTGCCTTGGTGGTCACCATGCCTCGGTGGTCACCCTGCCTTGGTGGTCACCCTGTCTCGGTGGTCACCCTGCCTTGGTGGTTACCCTGCCTTGGTGGTCACCCTGCCTTGGTGGTCACCCTGCCTTGGTGGTCACCCTGCCTTGGTGGTCACTCTGCCTTGGTCACCCTGTCTCAGTGGTCACCCTGCCTTGATGGTCACCCTGCCTTGGTGGTCACCCTGCCTTGGGGTCACCCTGCCTCAGTGGTCACCCTGCCTCATTTGTCACCCTGCCTTTGTGGTCACCCTGTCTTGGTGGTCACCCTGCCCTAGTGGTCACCCTGTCTTGGTGGTCACCCTGTCCTAGTGGTCACCCTGCCTTGATCACCCTGCCTTGGGGTCACCCTGCCTCAGGGTCATCCTGCCTCAGTGGTCACCCTGTCTCGGTGGTCACCCTGCCTCAGTGGTCACCCTGCCTTGGTGGTCACCCTGCCTTGGTGGTCACCCTGCCTCAGTGGTCACCCTGCCTCAGTGGTCACCCTGCCTCGATGGTCACCCTTCCTTGGTGGTCACCCTGCCTTGGTGGTCACCCTGCCTTGGTGGTCACCCTGCATTGGTGTCACCCTGTCTCAGTGGTCACCCTGCCTCAGTGGTCACCCTGCCTCAGTGCTCACCCTGCCTCAGTGCTCACCCTGCCTCAGTGGTCACCATGCCTCAGTGGTCACCCTGCCTCAGTGGTCACCCTGCCTCAGTGGTCACCCTGCCTTGGTGGTCACCCTGCCTTGGTGGTCACCCTGCCTTGGTGGTCACTCTGCCTTAGTGGTCACCCTGCCTTGGTGGTCACCCTGCCTTGGTGGTCACCCTGCCTCAGTTGTCATCCTGCCTTGGTGGTCACCCTGCCTCAGTGGTCACCCTGCCTTGGTGGTCACTCTGCCTTGGTGGTCACCCTGCCTCGGTGGTCACCCTGCCTTGGTGGTCACCCTGCCTTGGTGGTCACCCTGCCTTGGTGGTCACCCTGCCTCAGTGGTTACTCTGCCTTGGTGGTCACCCTGCCTTGGTGGTCACCCCGCCTTGGTGGTCACCCTGCCTCTGTGGTCACCCTGATTTGGTGGTCACCCTGCCTTGGTGGTCACCCTGCCTTGGTGGTCACCCTGCCTTGGTGGTCACCCTGCCTTGGTGGTCACCCTGCCTCAGTGGTCACCCTGATTTGGTGGTCACCCTGCCTTGGTGGTCACCCTGCCTTGGTGGTCACCCTGCCTTGGTGGTCACCCTGCCTTGGTGGTCACCCTGCCTTGGTGGTCACCCTGCCTTGGTGGCCACCCTGCCTCGGTGGTCACCCTGCCTCGGTGGTCACCCTGCCTCGGTGGTCACCCTGCCTTGGTGGTCACACTGCCTTGGTGGTCACCGTGCCTCGGTGGTCACCCTGCCTCAGTGGTCACCCTGCCTTGGTGGTCACCCTGCCTTGGTGGTCACCCTGTCTCAGTGGTCACCCTGCCTCAGTGGTCACTCTGCCTTGGTGGTCACCCTGCCTCAGTGGTCACCCTGCCTCAGTGGTCACCCTGCCTCAGTGGTCACCCTGCCTTGGTGGTCACCCTGCCTCAGTGGTCACCCTGCCTCAGTGGTCACCCTGCCTCAGTGGGAGACAGCTCTTGTATTAAAAAAAAATAGACAAGCACTACACCCACAAGATTCAGACAAGGCCTAGGAAATGGGAAATCATTAAGTTTGATCCCAAGAAGTGGAGGGTATCTTTCATTCCGTAACATAACGATAAACAGATCACCTATCACAAAGCTAACAGAGGGAAAATTCTTAGAATCCACCTTGATAATAGACTCAAATTTCATACACATATACAACAAATTTCTAAGAAAATTTCCAAGACTGTAGGCATACTATCGAAGATACGGTACTATGCTCCACAGTCAGCCCTCCTGGCCCTTTATCACTCTCTTATTTACCCCTATCTCATCTATGGAATTTGTGCATGGGGCTCAACAACAATTAACCATCTCAGACCACTAATTACCCAACAAAAGGCTGCAGTTAGAATGAAACAAATTCTCACTACAGGCAGCACACTCCACCAATATTCAAAACACTCAACCTACTCACCATACAAAACATCCATACTTATTACTGCACTATTACATACATAGAACACTTAACTCTGATATTAACCCTCCTGCTGTTCTTACCTGTATTTTTTGTACCTCTGTATGTATGCTTAAATTACAAAATAAATAAATAAATAAATTCTCTGGGTTAAGAACTGTTCACCAACATCAAGGCACTGCTCTTGAGGGCAGCCAAAAAATACCTGCACGTAATAAAAACTAAAAACTTACGAAAATAATTGTCAAGAATAGGGTCCCCTTTCTTTACAGTCTTGAATCTTTCATGAATAATCTTGAGTGGAGGAAGCTTCTTGACTGTTCCATTCTGAGCACCACAGTACCAACACACTGATATCTTCTTGCAAAGTTTATTAATGTGCTCGTAGAATTCCTTCTTCTGGATATATGAGCTAATGCACTTTGCCTTTTCACACAGGATTCCTTTGTCTTTAGGCTTCAGCAACACTTGTGCACAGCTCTGAAAAGATTAAAGATTAAACATTCATTATTTCAGCATAATACGTACAATGTTTGTACAGTGATCGGTGACATTGAGATGTGTATGCAGAAAACCCATTAGTACATGAACCCCCGCCTTACGAACACATTGCGTTACGTTAAATCGCCATACGAAGCATTTGAACGCAAAAATTTTCCCTCGCCTCATGATAAAAAATTTGCCTTACGTGATTCGTCTGGGACATGTCCCACATGTGGCCTCAGCTGCCCCGTGAGTGTCAGTGTTTACAAGCCAGCCAGTGCAGTCGCATCCATGCATACATTCAGTACATTTCACCTTATCCCAGTGTTTCTTGTGCTTGTAACTGCAAAATAAGTCATCATGGGCCCCAAGAAAGCTTCTAGTGCCAACCCTGTGGTAAAAAGGGTGAATATTACTATGGAAATTAAGAAAGATTTTGAAGGGTTTGGGGCTAACCCTGAGAAGCCTATGCCAGTTGTAGAATCCATTGTGCCTACTTCAAAGATTAAGGAAATGTGTGCAAAGTGGGTTGAACTGCAAACCTTTATGGATGAAAATCACCCTAACATAGCTATTGCAAGCCGTGCTGGTGACTATTACAATGACAATGTTATGGCCCATTTTAGGCAAATCTTAACCCTTTCAGGGTTGACAGGCCCTCTCCGAGACTTGTTCTCAGGGTCACCCAAATTTGAAAAAAAAAAAAAAAAATTTTTCTTATGAAAAGATAGAGAATCTTTTCCCGATCCTAATGACACCAAAAGTATGAAATTTGATGGAAAACTACGGAATTATGCTCTCACGAAGTTAGCGGTCTCGACGATGTTTATGCATCGGCGATTTTTGCCCACTTTGAGCCTTGTTTTCGGCCAATTCCAATGTACTAGTCGACAAAAATCATAACTATTTTGCTAGAACTCCATTTTTTCTATCATATGAGTACAAGAAACCATCCATTTACCAATTTCAATTATCCAATACAGTGGTCAGAATTAAGCAATTTTGCCATTTTCACACAAATTTCAAAAGATGCCAATTTCCAAATAGGGTCCAGAATAAACAAGAAAGACATTCCTGGCACTAAAATAACATTTCCTCTGTTCATTAGTCACATCCCCAGGCCCCTCTTACATTCTTTTGCATTCCACTTGAATTTTTATTCTCACA